AAAAGTGGTTGGATTATGTGAAGCGTGCTTTGTAGTATATCGATTGTGTGAAAATATTCAGGTTTGGGGTCGATAACGCGAATTCTGTGGTATGCATTTGCTATTACAAAAGGCGAACACGTCAACGCCGCTTCTGGTCTTGTTCCTGACATTCACACTACACCCATCCATCTTCCTGGCCTAAATACTGGATCCTACAATCAGCATTGTGCCCACATAAGAAGAAACAAAATAGTCTTCAGCTGTCCTAGTCCCCTATCGATTTTTCTCAAGACAGATTGCAGCCGACGAAAATTGTTGGTACTGGACACGGTTTTGTCACACAAACCTTCATTTTACGAATTAACCCGGAGCATATATTTTTTCAAGGCAAAATAACCTAGGAATTGAATGATTGCTCACTTTTCCACAGCTTTCCGGGTTGGATGTTCCATTCCATTCTCTAAAGAAGTCGTTTGGGAAAAAGTAAGCGTCGCATGCTTGTCATCATATCTGGGCTGACAGCTGTTTTTAAGGTTAGACAAAGGAAACTAATATGGAACGCGAGAAAACTGTCAGCCTTAACCTTTGCGGTACAGGAAGTGAAAACGGACCACATCAATCAATTAGACCAAACTTAATTCGACTGGTGTTTTCGCCTTTCATTTTTTGCATCATAGTGTCACCCGTGAAGAGGCCGCTATCCACGTAGACAAGTGTGCAGAAAGTGGACTGCTCACTTCACTGGTTGCATCATGAAACCATGTTTTCTTGAGATCGTAAAATTCTTAACATCTTACACTGTTGATGAATATTCCGTTACAAGTATTGTCTCTCTGAGTTAGTTTCAATCTGTCTCAAATCTTCCTTACACAGTCCTCTCTATCAAAGAGTGAGAAAAACCCAACTAAGCCGCATCATTCCTGTGTCTACCGTTCTTGCCCATGCTTCAGCGCAAACAGAACTTCCGTAAATTAAGAGTGATCTGAACGGAGAGAAGGCAGCGGAAATGGTGAGATATTACCTTTTGTGTAGCTTTCTTAAACTGTCAGACGTGATATTTTTCCTGACCCTGGATGCAGCAGCAATATCCTCTTCACTACAGAAACCCTGACCACTAAAGAGAGAAAAGAATATTTGGCTAAAGATGGCGAATTAAGCTGAACAACTGTTTGGGACTTTCCAATTCAGTGGTATATGGTTCTGGAGGCATCTCATAGACGAACTCCTTTATTCGGGTACGACTGGCGGTCGCTTTCACGTTTTCGGTATTCCTTCTAGCGTTACTTCTAACCACCCCATTAGTGGTCGGTAAATTGGAACGACGCAAGTCCTTTCGCTGGATAGTGGATGCTGTTCCGCACGCAACTTGTCAGTGACAGAAATATTATTTTCTGGACGGCCTCCAGGAGAGCCACTCATAACTGCACGCCGCAATAACTTGCGATGACAAGGGGGTGCAGGGTGATTCCCAAGTCTTCGGTTGACCTGGCTGTACTGAGGTCAAGCACCAGTGTCCACACATGGGTGGCTTGTTTGTGATGGTGACTTTGGTGGTAATATTCGTCCGCTACTGCCTACTGCAAACCGGATTCTTTATCACCATCTGACCTAATAGAATAGCAAGATATCACGTTATTTTTTGGTGGTTTTATTCTCCGTCCCCCCTAAATCAGAACGTTCCGATCTAATTGGTCACCTTAGGTATGTGGACGGCTAGTTAACTCAGCCGAATGAATCAGGTAACTGGCAATTTTCAAATGGATCTCTTGTTTCGAAACACATATTCCATCGATTACTGATTCGAAGTGATGTCACATTCATATCTTAACTGTAGTCCGTTCATCAAAAACACAATGAGAGCACTGTCATAAGCGGATTCGCCTGTGTGACTGACCGACAAGGGACGTTTGACGACAGAAGGTAAAGTTCCTGCGCAGAAACGGGTACTCGTGAGTCACATCATCACCCGGACATGACCAAACGCGCCTCGAAATAAATGCTTTACAAAGGCCATCCGTGTGTGCAGTTCCCATCACCAAAGTATAAGCGGCGTGATCACGTTGACAACCATGATCATCAATGACGGGCAACATAGGTGTGGGAATGTCGATGCTTAACTCTCATATGATTATAATAAATATAATTTATTCACCTATCCACAAGGTATCCTGAGATCCGAATGATTACTGTAATTATGGATGATGAAGCAAAAAAGGGCTTTTTGTCAAGAGGTAAAAGCCGAGGCTTGTGTTAAAATAGCATCAGAGGGCTTTTCACAGTCATTTCTTTTTTCCAGGCCAATGCGCACACAGCAGTCCACAGTGACGTCAACGTTCTTTTTATTTTTTTATGCCTTACTCCACAGTTTTAGTGGGACAGTAGTAGACCGGACGGACTAAATGTTTTATTTAAAAGATGAATTTTCCTCTGTGGATAATTCACACTAATATTAATTTTTGACTTTTAGTGCCGTAAGTAATGTTACCGAGAGTGATCGGTTTAAAGTACGCTTCCATTCTCTTCGAGTACCATACGTACATGGTATTGCAGTATTCACCTCACTACTGGTATATCAATATTCTTCTATAATTCTGCAACAACATGGCCTTGATACGGAAGGTCAACACTTGCGCTAAAAGAGCAGAAGGTTTATTACCCGCTACAATTAAATCTGGCTGTTCCTGAATAATAATTGCTTCACGTATTTCCCGTAGGTCAAGCCAATAAATAATCCACTTCACCGGTTGTGTTTTAAGCTTGATAAATTAAGCCTAGGAAATAACGGATGGAGACGCGCAAAAGTGCATCTTTTGATGTCTTTGAAAATTTGACTGCAAAGAACCATTGGCGCAACCTATACTCCAGTTTGATATGAATGAATAAAACATCTTAATGACCCGCAGAAATCGTTTTCTCATCCATGGAATTCAATCCAAAAGCGGTTTGAGTAATTGGAGCCTTGTTCATCGACTGCGCATGCGGCATTAGTTGTGCTCGTGATAAATACTCATTCCCTGGTGTCTTCAGATACAGCAGCAGTAGAAGTATGGCTGCGCCGGGGAATGTGAAGTTTGAAAAACACATGGACATGACATGACAAGCGCTGAACGTTTTCACACAAATAACTCAAATTTACATATTTTTGGCTATCTTGCTGAGTCTTCAGTGATACAGATCACTGCAAGAAGGGGGACGGAGGGTAAGTAAACTATACCCAAGAGGGGTGACAAGCCCCGAAGTCAACGATGTTATTCGCTTGTTGAATGATGCAATAATGGTCATTTCGATTGTGAGGAATCCTTCGTTCATGAGTGCGAAGTACACACTTACAACAGGCTTGACATACACAAAACGCCAAACAGAGGCTGTGTTGTTTGGTTGTCCTGCTAAACAGTCGATGGTGGTTAAGCACCGCGAAATCTGTAGTCCACCGTCAAAGCGAATCCGGTTTCATCAAACATAATATGAATCTCGGTATGATACGCGAAAAGACTACTTGACGGATATTCCCACATACTCACGTGTGCGGACGTGGATGTCGCCAGTGCGGTGCCCTTACAACTGCTGTTTGGTAGGTTAAAAACCTAGTTGCACCGGTTACCTATCATCTGAGTGGATCAAACACATCAACTGAACTCATTCTTAGGTGTTAGTTGACAACAAATACGAAACAACGCGATGGTCCACAGATCACCGGAGGTCAGTTGACCGTGTTAGCCACGAAATGCGTGACACCAGCATCGTACTATATAATGCTTTAATGTTTCCACTTTGGCTGGAACAGAATAGCAAAGTTACTTAAAAGTCTCCCACTGAGGATGCAGTCCACATCAGCATTGTGGTCCTCAGCGCTTCGTTACTACTGAGATGCAGATAAACGCGAAACAGTCGGGTTTGCGATCATTTGATTTATAGTTTCACTGTATCATCCTCTAGATTGCAACCAACTGGTAGAATTCCAGTAAGCATCAGTGATTGCTTGAGAACTGTATTGTGAGACGCCACCTTTTGTCAGTTTATTGGCCGAATAAGTTAGCGGTGCATCAGGACAACAGCGACCCCTAAGGTACAACCCAATCTTTGCGTGCATGGCCCCAGGATTGGACACCATTTAACTAGGGTGTTTTTACGTCACCTATGCAGTACCGCGCTAGAATGTTCATGCTGGAACGGCGGAAAATATATGGGGATCTCACTTTTGAGTACCAAGTATTACATTAGTTTTTTGGAGACATCCGAACACGGACATACAATGCCAAAAATGGTTCACTCTGATGCGTTAGTGGTTAAGAAAATAAGAAAGGAAGTGATGTGAACTGTGGATCTTTTGAAACAGAAATTCCGTTAATTCTTTTTCATTGCAGTTGGTGAACATCTCATGGAGCCCACTGCTGATGACCCCAAAGTTTATGACCAAGGAGGACACAGCTAAGCATTTTATACTTTGTTCTCTGTGTAGGTCTGAAGGCTTCGAAGAAAGAATTAGCTGAAGCTCAGATGAATCTTTCCAATGATTGGGAACAGTGAATAATCGCTTCCAGATTAACGCAACTTGTAGATAGCTAAATTTGACTGCTTGGTATCAAGTGGGTTCAAGTTATCGCAATAATGTTTAATGAACCCATACTTTGCAGCAAAACTGTTATTTGGTACAGCTGTTCACAATACTAGGTGCTCAGAGGAAAACTGTTGAGATCTAGGGCGATTCGGATTTGGATATCTCCGGTTCAGGACAGATATAATTGCTTCCATGTGAAGCACAAGTCGCAGTACTCATGACCGTGGAATAGATCAGTTGTCAACTTTAAACGGCACAAATTCAAAGAGAGTAAATTCTTCGATATGGCAAGTTCAGATTCCAGTACTCAAAACCAGCATATACCAGGTGACCAGTGATTGTTTACATTGTAAGCCTGAAAGTGACCAATTTCAACCCCCGAGTCCCCTTTTGTGTTATCCACTTTTGCCGTTATAGCGATTTGAAATTCCCGGTTTCAGCGGAAAGCGGAATAACAGAAGTTGAAGAGAATATTATTAATCAAGGGAAGCGGTGAACCTGATTACTTGGGTGAAACACACAAGGTCATTAACGAAGAACTTGCCTCGAACAGGTGTTTGCTTGTTGAATGCAATACGCATTTAACCACGCTCGGTTACTTGCACTGAGACATGCAGTTACCATAGAAAAAAGCATGCCAAACAAATTGAAACGGGACGTTTGTTTTCGGTCAAAACGATATGGAAGCAATTCGTTTGCGGGTATAGAGATAAGCTGCAGACGTGGTCGCTGTCAGGTTTATCGAAAAGTGGAAACAAATACGTTACAAATTCAAAAACGGCTGTCTACAGTGACGCACAGGATTTGCAGATCGTTTTCGCTGTCGATGCAAAGCTGTAGCGGAGTGTATTTCATTGAGATCGGATGGTTTCAAACATGGTGTGGGGTGAATCAACGGTTTTTGTAGGCAGTACGAAAACAAGGGGTAGCGAAAACGAATTGGGTTGCATGAGTGAATGCAAGTTGACATGGATGTGGAGGGTTGTCGGAGGTATGTGAGCATAAAAGGTCTGGGTCACTGCGAAATCCTTCGAAAACAGGAAATGCTAAGAACTAGCACGAATTCGGCATGGGTGAGGATTGAACGGTGAAGGTGCAAGGCTTTACATGCCGTATCCATTGGTGTCCGCCGGTGGTAAATCTAGGAGACTGAGTGAGCTGCCTGTGTCACGGGCATAGTTGGAGTCAATACGTCTACTGTACTTGTTGTTACCAAGGCTAAATCGTGGTTTCCATGTTGAAGAAGGCAGTTCACTCGATACGCTATAGACGGAACCTTCACGCGCAATGGAAGCAGCTCGCGCCTTTGTAGGGTAGGCACTGCCTTGTCTAGCCCGTGTTAGTGTACCGTAAGCGGACATTGTCTCGTCGTTTTGTGCTCCCATACCCAAACGCCGCTCCGTCATTTGAATCCGAAGACCAGCATCATCTGCCTGTTGTTGCGCTTTTCGGTATTTGTTCATAGCGTTTTGTGCGTTTGCTTCCTGTGCATGAAATTCAGTAGACAAATAGAAAGGAGTAATCTAATTGAAGATACTTGAAAACTTTTCGTTTGGTTAAGATTAACTCCAGAAACCACTCCTTAGAACTGTAAACTGGTTAAGGTTTGAAATTTGAGCGACTTGTAGAAGCGCACACGTGTTGCGAAAGTCAGAGAATTGAGGTAGTTAACTAATACTTGTTTACAGCCTCAAATGTACTTTTGCGCATATCTCCTCTCTAAGAGGACCCCTAAATAGAATCACAGAAAATTACAATCCTTTATCGTCAAGTGGCATCTTGAACTTTTATTGACTCGTGGCTAAAAATAAGACAAATTCAGCATCAGTAGCGGATACGAATGAATATCATTGCGCCATTCAGGACACATACCTTAAACTGCTATCCACTGAACCACTGTCGACCAACCCAAACCGTGTACATATCGTGGATCCTCAGTGCTGTCAATATAGGCATCATATACCCTCAAACCAAAAGGATCTCCCAAAACCTTTCAAAGTTTTATGGATGAAATACACTAGAATCGGTTCACAGGGCTGCACATACCGCTTCTTCAAGCTGCCGACGGGTTTGTCGCAGCTTTGTTTGAGCTCGGTCTGTCATATCGCGCAACTCGGCGATGATTCTCTGTGCGTCCTCTTCGGCCTGCATCGAATCCTTCAATGCTCGCTCGCATTTCCTTCACACAGGGGGAAAAATTTGGGTGAGTGTGAAAACAGAACGAATCCATATGTTGAAAATCACGGGACTATATTTGAATTCCTGGTGAAATTGGGTGTCCATAGTTTATTGGAAGAACACACTGCTGAATTTGTGGATGGGAACAATGTCATAGAGAACATTTTACCATAAGACTAGGTTTTTGGTTAAACTTCGAAGATTGACTTTTTACTCACAGTTCTTTCACCCTGTTAAGATGACCTCGAACGTTCATCTCCTAGGAAGTGGACCTTTGTAAACGGGCTGTTTGTAAGACAAAAAGCGAGCCGACCGTAAGCGATATTCATTTTTGATTGGGTTTGTGGTGTCCTATAATAGTGATTGATCCAGTCGCAATTAAGTGCGTATGTAGTTCTGCTAGTTTGCCCGTTCAGTTCAGTAGAGACAAAACAAGTAATACGAAGCAAGAAACCCACAAACGTTTCCGAAAATGGCGGTACAGAATTCGGTGAAGAATGTCATGAATAGTGAGTATTCGATATTCGACTGGTGTGTCTGACAGTGAACGGAAAAAATCAGGGCACGGTTGTTGTTCAAGTGTCTAAAAACAGGCGCCGACCTACTTCGACCATGAAAATAATCCTACAAGTTTAGTATGTTATGGCTTAAAGATTAGTTTCCTAGACGAAATCAAACTGTCCCAACCTGAGAAAATAAAAAACGAAGCTGGTTACCGTGTGGATTGCATGTCTGAATTGTTTCAGATGTAAATGACAGACTGACCTAAGTTGACTTTGAGCCTCACGCGTTTTCTTTGACTCCTCATCAAGTGCCATCTGCATTTCCCGGACCTTGACCTCGGCCTGATTTTTAACATCATCCGCACTTCGTTCGGTCAGATCAACCGTCCGTCGAAGCTCCAGTAACTTGGAGTTTGTGTCCTTTAGTTCCACTTCTAGCTGGCGGCGGGAGGAATCGGCTCGTCTTGTAGCCTCTTGTTCAGTTTGCAAATCTTGTACCAATCGGGCTACTTCAGCTTGCAAACGATCTGCCCGATCGTCTGCGGCCTTGGTCAGGGTAAAAATGAGTATGAATGAGAACAAACTAGCAGCAGATTGAAGAAAAGCAACAAAGACTTACATTTACTGTTGCATAGGATACAAGAACAAGGCAAATTTGATGAAATATGTGGTCGATATATATATATATATATATATGTATATATATATATATAATTCACTCAAAAGTGCATAAGCACTATGAGCCGAAACTTAGTTCATTTCACTCCTTCATTGGCTTGTGAAACTTCTGATTGGCCACAGGTTGGGGGATTTCGAAGGCCAACAGTTTAGGCGCTCAAGCTTGGAATAGTCTTATCACCAAACACCTCCAAAAGTGAAGCTTAAGTACGCTTAAGTAAGCTTAAGTACACAATAAATAAGCCGTTATATTGTCATAAACGACTCACCTCCTTTGATCCGACGGCATCGTCGAGGTCACCTTGAAGGACGGTTAGTTGTCCCTCCAACTTCCGACGTTCAGTTGTCAGACTGTTAATCTGACCGGTAAGTTCCCCGATCCGACTGGCGACCTCGGCGGCATCTTCCTCCGTCTTACGTTTTAGGCGTTCCGCCACTTCCAGTTGACTTCGCATACTCTCAACTTCGTCGGTCAAAGCAGCTCGTCGGTTCTCGCAAACCTTTCATGAAGAAATCAGGATAAGTTAGAATCAATTCCTACTTTCACATTGTTCTCAAGCTTAGTGGGATTGAGTTCCAGATGTAAGTGTTGCGTTAAAAGAAAATTTTCATTCTATGCGTTTTCAACAACGTCGGCTTGTCTCGTGACACCTACTTCCTAGTAAGACTACCTGCAACAAAACTGATATCCGAAGTGAAAGTTTCAGGCAAGCCAAGCAGAAAGTTCCCACCGAATCATGGCATTTTTTGTCCTAGTGAAAACGCACCACTATATGGTGACGGGTAGCGAATAACGGGACCCTGGGAGCCGATAGCTTCTTTCTCTGGACCTCCGACCTCGTGGTTTTCTGTAGATGCTTCGTGTAATGCTCGACAATTTTTGTGTTGTGCATCCATGGGCAACTAATGCAATTATCCCATAGCATCGTTGGTTATTTGACGCAAATCCCTACTTTTATTCACAGCTGATGTACGTAATTGGTTGTCAGGACATTGGCTTCACTAGAGCAAAAAACATCAACCTCACTACATAATGTTGCATTGTACGTCACCCAAGTTGTCTAGAACCAGTTACTTCGTAAGTAAATGCCACGGCCTTGAAAAGAAAATAAACCTACTTAAGACTAGTTCATTACGTTATGTTTTGAACTTCCTCTTTTTCCATGCTTGTAGGAGGAACAAAGAGAGAAAGAAATGCCTAACTAATTAAACCCAAGTGTCGAAGTCCTCTGGGGACAGAGAAAGTGAAGGCGACCATTTTTTTTAAATATTTCCTGATCCCCACAAATATAGTGATTAGCGGCGATTTTACATATTCCCAGCTACTAAGTATGGGCCTTGTGTTGTTGGTCCAAAAACACCAGTCAAGTCCGTTATTGCACCTTGATAAAAGTAGCCATTAAACGTGAAAACTGCGGAGACGCAGATCAACCACAATAGTTTGTCAGGCGATTTCAAAGAACTCCAAAATGATAGAATCTTACTTGAAGCGCAGTTGTTGTTTCTGCCAACATATGATTGGCCTCTTCGAGTTCGTATTCCATTCGATTGGCATGCTCCTCTGCTTCATGTGCGGCTCGTTCGGCATCATCTCGATTCTTCTTCGTTTCTTCCAACTGTTCCTCCAAACTGTTAACTGTGTTCTCCATCTTCTTCTTTATTCGCTCAATTTCATTTTGATATTTGGACTCAGTACCTTCCATAGCTGCTTTGAGGTTTTCGATATTCCGTTGACTTGATCGTCTTTGAAGGGATGCACGGAATAAGATTATAATATTTGATATGTATAATCGTTTCCCAGTTGTGAAATAAAATGAAAAATGATTGTGTTTAGTAATAACCAGAGGTGTCAACTAGGTATGAGCAACTGAACTACGGTTACGTAGTGTCCCATGAAAATTTTGTTTGAGGTTCTCATCAAAGCCATCGCGTATGAAAGATTACGATCCACTGGACAAACTCTCGCCTGATTGCGGGGTTCTGCCTACTGACTGAATAATTTGCAGTCAGGCCTTGGTAATTCACCCTACCAGCCTTAGGTCAATTTGTTGGAATTCAAAGCTTGTGCCCCAAGAACCAGTTAAGAATAGCGTCATATAACACTTAAACTGCTTAACGCAAAACAATAGCTTTTGACCCGATCGAGATGAAACTTAAAGGACTAGATTTTGTACAAAATCCTGAAAACAGGAACCAGACTTCAGGCGGATAAAACTTTAAGAGGTTTGACCGAAACACCATGGTTTGGAAGTTGTCCGTTGTTCTATTCACTGAGCTGGGTAATTTGGCCGCTAACGTTTCGTCATCCACCCAGGTTACGTCAACAGTTCGCAGTGAATTAGCGGCACCGCCACCGTATTACTTACCGAAAAAGTCACCTCAGTTGGTGATGAAATGTTTACAACCAAATTGCTCAGCTCAGCGAACAGAAAACGACCATCAACCAGACTTCAGGCGGATAAAACTTTAAGAGGTTTGACCGAAACACCATGGTTTGGAAGTTGTCCGTTGTTCTATTCACTGAGCTGGGTAATTTGGCCGCTAACGTTTCGTCATCCACCCAGGTTACGTCAACAGTTCGCAGTGAATTAGCGGCACCGCCACCGTATTACTTACCGAAAAAGTCACCTCAGTTGGTGATGAAATGTTTACAACCAAATTGCTCAGCTCAGCGAACAGAACAACGACCATCCGTAGAGTGAACATTCCCCTCCATGGATTATTATTTTGTGTTAAATAACGTTTCATTCATCATGTGCCTACGTGATGTGAATTGCGCGACCTAAGTTTGGGCGCCGCTAATTATCTTAGTGTGAGGTGATCGAACTGCTAATCAGCTATTCTTGGCCGAACGGCATTATTTCCAGCCGGACGGTCCCCAGAAGGAATGAGTGGAGCTAAGTTTTAATCGTAGGTGGATTCTATCTGCAGAATGAAATCACACTTGAAATTAGTGACCTATCCCCCAAAATATACTGGTGTTTTTCGTGAACCCATAACTCCAAAGTTCATGTCAGTGCTGCCGAGTTTCATGTCTTCGCCAGCCTCTGATAAATCTGTTGTGTTAAACAACTAGATGAAGGGTTGCGGAAGGGTGTTCATAAGACCCGATCATGTAGTAGTCCGCCCATTAAGAGCATATCTTCGAGAGCAAACTGGTCTTCGATGTAAAAGAAATTCTTATTCCTCAAACTCCTTGCCACAGAAACAGTTTATGGGTGAGCTCTAGGAACAGATATCACGTTACACGGTACGTAATTATTGATACGCGTTTTACAGTGTGGTGATATATGATTTGCCAGTTGACCGTCTGAATTTCGTGAAATCCTCACGGTGAGGAATGATTGACTTATGAATTACCCGGACTACTAATTGCCACATTGCTATATATACGTTTACCACCAGATCTATCGGTCTCCAATGGCTCATCTAATATTTCTTTCTATGTATCACAGCTCTCGATTGTTAGAACCTAGCGTGATAACATAAACTGCACTGTTGAAAATTTTAAAAGCTCTACCAATGGAAACAGCTTTTGTTCTCGTAATAAAGGAAGGTCGGGAAAATTAACATCAAAATTTGCTAAGAATAGGTTTTAATTTGTCAAAACTTTCACAGAGGACATAAAAAGTGAAGAGCCCTCCCCCAAAATCACTTACTTCGCTACTCAAATGTGTAAGACCGATTTCAATGCACATACGTAGCAAGAAAGACAGTGAATTTCTTTCTACCCTGTCCAGTTTGTTCACTAGACCCTACTCACTGGTATGTTCAATAATGACATTAATGAAAGTGTTCTCTTTGACGTAAAACAACACAAAGCTTTTGAACAGTTTAATGAAACTGCACTCCACATCCGTTGGACAAATTCGTTATATCTTCGCATTTACGAATTTGCACCTTATCGGGTGCCAAAAGGATATGACCACAGCCCGACGCCGCTCACAGAGTCCATTCGTCAGGTCTTTTAGAAACGCGCAACGTTTGCTATGTTCTCGGAACATATTTTCTACTTGAAATTTGTAGCGGTGTTCGCTGGTTTCAAAATCACTGACTGGGACACTAGTATCGATGTCTGAGCACTCACATTCGATTACCGCAGTCGCGTTAGTTTAAACAGAGTTTAGTGCTGCTCGTGCGATCGCTACCGGCGCAGAAACAAAGTGAATCCAGCCCACCATTGATTGTCGGCCCACTCCACCGGAGGGAGCTGAGGTACTCAAAAATTCTCACGCAGAGTTAATGCACTCAAGTTGCTATGCTAAGTCTTCACGCTTCGGAATGGGACGCTAACAAATGACACTTCAGAATTTAAGTTACAACGGCAGCAGCATCCAAACCTGCGTGAGTTCGATGGGCTGGTGAGACTTCAACAACCATCCGGTTCACCGCTGCCCTGCCTTTGATAGCCTTACTGCTGTGATCACGTGTTTGGTTCAAACAATGGTGCGAAAAAATGATCGACACATCCGAATGAAACCGCGCTGCGATTTTTGCGCGATATGATTCTGGTCCTTCAGCTAGGCCAATTCAACCAATCAACTAACACAAGTGGGACAACTTGCAGACCCCCCACTCCTTAGAAGTGAATGGGCATAGTTTACCACGCACACATGACAAACTACAGAATGAGCAAAAACGCGACCTACTTATATGACCATTTGTAGTAGTCTTAATTTTCCACGGATTTGCGACATAAAAGCTGGATGTACCTGTACTAAATACACAACAATCATTGGGATCCAAAGCCTTCCAAATCAACCGATACTGAGCACCAAGAGGCGCTGAGTAAAAGTTAACCCGTGACTTTGATCACGTCTGTATTTCACACATCTATGCGTGGAACTCATGGGTATTCTACAGGTACCTTAAGGCTAAGGAAGGTTTTAGGAAAGTACCAAAAGTAGCTTGTACCAAAAGCCACACAGTGCTTATTATTAGATACATTTTCGGAAACTGACATCTATAAATGCGGAACGATAAGCTTGGTCATGTAAACTTTGTGTGCTGTTCGTATGCATTGCGTCCTTCGCAGAAGTTTCAACTCATAAACTATGCTACTGAGGAAGATATCCTAGCCACATAGCTGGTGTTTGCAATAAATCTGTATAACTGATGTGTTTTGCTGTCGTTTGCATTTACAAGTCCGACTTCGCCATCTCCATAATCACCACGCGTTTATCACTGCACGACTACACGCAGCATAACACAGTTCTCTTCCTGTTCGACCGCGGTAGTGGCAGTCGCTGGGGCTGATCTGTGTGAAGGTAGCTTTGGCAGCGTTACCATCCACATGTGACTTGTGCGACAGCCAACCCAGAACAAGGCCACCCGCTAAGGCCTGACTAAGCCAATGCAGTACCCAAGTGCGTAAACCTAGCAACAATATTGAATGACAGACGGTAACCGGTCGATCGCACTTTTGCCTCACGTCAGAAAAGCCTACGTAGATCTGGTTGCAAACATAAGGCCAAAAGCTCCAACATTGTTAAACTCCTCTCATCCTCCACTACTCAGTATTTGTCGTCACAGATGAAGAAAAAGTTGCCCGTGCCTTACAAACACTTTCGAAAGATGGTTTTGAAGCACTTCCCAACCTGATTCATATTGCTTCAGGTAAAGCAATATTAAAATAATCTGCATTCAAAACTAACAGTATTGTCGTTCTGGTGTTTTACTAAGGGATTTGCCTGTATGAACTAGGGAACTAAAGCATAGATTCAATCCGGAGTTGTTCAGCTGTAGCACCATTTCGGTGCCTAGCTGCCGTGCCACACGAAGGAGGCACGAGGGCTGGGATACTGCTAAGTTGCCCAAGCCTGGACAGGGGAAGTCGAGAGGCAGAGGTCGGGTTCAAACCACGGACCTTCCGGTCAGTAGATTCACGCTCCAACCACTTGAGCCATCTCGCTCCGGAGTTGTAGTTTTAAGTCGAGTGCATTTGGTTTGTGAATTTATCGAGGTTTTTGCGGTGCACCACAAACGTGAGAGCATTTGGATTCCCTTCCAAGATCCCTTCTTGTGACGACACTCGAAGCACGAACTTGGTAACATGTGGAGCTAAATAAGTGAAAAAGTATTTCCCAAGAAAGAGTAGATCCACATTTGATCTGAAAGTCCATGCACAACGAAAAATTATCCCGGTTTCAATAAATTTTCCAATACTGGGCTAAACCTTAGTTTACCAAAATACAGTTGTTTGCAAGCAGAAAGCATTTCGTTCAGTCATGAACCATTGGTTCCCAAAATGCCTAAATGTGTCGTTGTAAGTAGTTGAACGATCTATTTTCTAGCCACGACTGCCACTCTGGAGCAACGAAGAAACGATTGAGAGATTGGAAAACCGGGGGTAAACCGGGGTTTATAATACTTGTTGCGATTTTATTGATAGTCTGAGTGATTGTCAAGGTATCCAGAATGCATTCAAAGGGCTGTACTCAGTCGGATGCCTCTGTTGGAAGGGGAATGATGGTTTGATGCAGCTGATCCGACTTTACGCACAACCAACAACTAAAAACTGAACCAGTAGAAACCTTGAAACTTTTGAATGATGTATTATCGGTTCCGGAAATGTTTGGAAGACAATCCGTAGATCTATTACCGGATGTACTATCTGCTTTACTTCCTTGTTACTTCATTGTTTCTGCAATTGAGTATTTTCAGCGCTGGTTTTCTCAGCGGAAGGGACGAGTGTGTTGCGAAATGGCAACTGATCTCTATTGGGGGTCCGATGTGAAGGAAAGATGTGATGTCATCAATCGTCTCGTATAGAAATATTAACTCAGGTTGATGACTTACAACAATCGTGCCCAAAGTTTGTCGGTGTGTACATTTTCTGGCTGACGCCAGATAAAGTTAGTGCACACGTTGCTTGTATGGAATCAAGAGCTGTAAATATTCTGATAGTGTGGGATATATATATATATATATATATATATATATATATATATGTAGGAAAGGGGGTGTTATATAAGAGAGATGGGGGAGA